TGTCGTCTTGTGCCCACCTGTAGAGTGGTGACCATTGGTGAATTGGAAGTACAGGACCTGTTTGGGGAGCCATTTGTCAGGCATCTTTATGACATGGTTTTTCCAGTGGAGCTAGTACCATATAAACATAGCTTCAATGCTGGTGGTGTTTGCTTCAGACATAACACTGGTGTTTGTTCTTCGGTCCTTCCAATTGATATGGAGGATTTTCCAAAGACATTGCTGGTGGTGACATTCCAAAACTTTCAAGGGTTTTTCCAGTATGCTGTCCAAGTTTCACACCCATATAGCAGGGTAGGGATGACAACAGATTGCTAGATGAGAAGTTTGGTTTGGGTCCTGATGTCATGATCATTGAAGATACAGTTTTGGAGAGTCCAAAGGCAGTGCTGGCAGATTTTATCTGGCGTTGAATATCCTTGTCTATATTTACTTTTTAGGAAATGTGGTTACCCAGGTAGGAGTAATGCTTAACATTCTCCAAGGATTGCCCTTGAATTGTAGCAAGTAGAGGAGCCCCTCATTGGTTTTGGGTGGTTTGGTAAGGCATTTGGGTTTTTGTGAAGTTGACAGTGAATCCCAGCATTTCACATGCAGCCCAAAAGCAATCACGAGCTACCTGGAGCTCTTCAACTCATGTGGGCACACATGACACAATTGTCAGTGTATTGAAAATCAGTATTGAAGTTGTTGATTATCTTGGATTTAGAAAGTAATGAGTTGATATTAAAGAGAATCCCGTTCATATGATCCTCGTTGCTGACTTCTGATCTATCAGCAATGAGATGCAGAATAGCTGAAATATAGATGGAAAAGAGTGTTCATGGAAGCACACAGCTTTGCTTGACTCCAGTTCTAATAGTGATGGGATCCATTTCTGAGCCATTGCTTAGGCTTAGGATGATTTATTTCATCTTGCTACTTGTATGGTCGAGGGCCTGCAGGCAAGACCCTTTGAAGACGGACTAAGGGATCTGAATCTCTTCAGCCTCAGCAAGAGAAGGCTGAGAGGCGATCTTGTGGCTGCCTACAAACTCATCGGGGGGGCCAGCAGGGAATAGGGGCCACTCTGTTTACCAGGGCTTCTCTCGGGGTTACCAGGAATAATGGCCACAAACTGAAGGAGAACAGACTTAGATTGGACATAAGGAAGAAATTCTTTACGGTAAGGGTTGCCAAAAGATGGAATGGGCTTCCAAGGGAGGTGGTGTTTTCCCCTACCCTGGAGGTGTTCAAGAGGAGATTAGACAGGCATCTGGCTGGGGTTACCTAATCCCAGCGCTCTTTCCTGCCTGGAGCAGGGGGTCAGACCCAATGATCTACCAGATCTCTTCTGACTTTAGAAATCTATGTTGTCATGAAGAAGTCTAATAATGGTAACAAAATTTGGTAGGTATCCAAATCTCATCAGCATCTTCCATAGGGTGTCTCTGTTGATTGAATCATAGACTTTAGTCAGGTCAACAAAGGTCAGTCTTGCATGTGGAACTTCTTCTGTAGCTTTCTAGCAACATAGATCATATCTATTATACCTCTGAGTGGTCTGAAACCACATTGGGACTTGGGTAGAGCTCCTTAGTGAGGAAAGTAAGTCTAGTGAGGAGAATGTGGGCACAGATTTTCCTAGCTCTGGACAGGAGTGCAATACTACAATAATTGTTGCAGTCTAACTTGTCTCCTTTCTTGAATATGGTAATGATTCTGGCATCCCAAGTCACTGGGAATCTGTTTATGCTTCTAGATTTTCATAATAGTAACATCTAGTCAGACAGATTTTTTTTCCAGCTTGCCTATAAATTTCAGCTGGTATTCTGTAAGGACCACCTTGCCTTGCTTTATCTGCTTTAATGGCTTTCAAGACCTCTTGATAAGTTGGTGGATCTGCAATGTAGTCCTTTATGAAGTGTTGTGGAATGGCTTTGATGGTATTTTGTCTTATCAGAATCTTAGTTCAGGAACTCTTGAACATGAACCTTTCACCATGCGTTGATGGTGGAGCTGTCTTTAAAGAGTGGGCCGTCCTTGAACCTCAGAGTGAGTTTCTTGTGTGTTTGGCCCATAAAAACTTTGGTTGCCCTAAAGAAATTATGCGTCATGGTTATCAGCAAGCTTTTGAATCTCCTTGGCTTTATGATGAGCCAGTACTACATTGTACCTCTTTATTGGGCCACCCATCCCAAAAGTTAGCCTCAGATGCTATTGATGGAACCTCTCCAAAGATTTAGATGTGAAATTTGTAGCATAGCCTCAGCTTCATCAACATCAGTGAGGTAGGGGGATGCTTTATAGCAGCGATATTCAACCATGAAGACCTTTTAAAGGTGCTGTACAGTACTACCTGTTCTTTAGCTCTCAAATTTTCCCCTGTGTCTTGCCTTTAATGTGGTAATTAGTGTCTTGCTTCTGTTTGGAATTGATGGTATTCTGCCAGACTTTGGAAGCTCTCTTTTTTCTGTCAGTAAGAGCTTGAATTTCCTTATCATTCTCATTGAATCAGTCCTGATGTTTCTTTTGTGCAGAAGCCTAGAGATTCTTCACACACCTTATTGATGCCATTCTTGAGGCTCTCCTAGTAGTGTCTCTCAGTAGTTTCAAGATCAGCAGGGAAGTCAGAGTTTCTCACTGAGGCACTGATGGAAATTATTGTTTTTATCAGAGTCTTTCAAGCACTCAGTATTGAACCTGTTCCTTGGTTGCTGCTTCTGTTCTTATCATGTTGGGGTGATATGAATGGACATAGTGGAACTTATCAAACAATGATCTATGTAGCAGTCATCTGTGCTGGTCATAGCTCTGGTCATATGGACATCACACCAGTCCCATCACACCGCAATCAGGTGCCAATGTTTTGAGCAGGTGGTTTTTAGTTAGATGACTCTGTTTTTATGTTAGATTTAGAGCTGCCATCAAATTCATTTTTCTAAAACGAGGTTTCCGACCGTCCATAAATTTACTGATGGTCTGTAAAAAAACAAAAAAACCCTCAAACCCCGCCCCCCCTCTCAAACTCTAAAAATGCCTGTCCATAATAAAAATTGAGCTGTCTGTGAGACTGAGTTCATTTCAGAATCTTTGTGAATGAAACTAGATGCAAATGTGTTTGGACACAGACTGTAGAGCAGCACTACCTGGTATCTTAAATGGGTGGCTGTTCAGAGCCCTCAAGTGACTGTCTGTCTGTCAGGGCTTTCTGGCCCACTAGAGCCTCTGTAGCTCACTCTAACAATTGTTGCCACTGTGTGCCTGCCTGCTCAGTGCTCACTTTGAAAGTACTATATACAGGGCCCACCAGCCCTAGGGTGGGCAAGACAGGTGGAACCATGGGCCAGGGTGATATGGGGAGAGGTAGAGGGTGAGTTTATTCTGGGACATGATGGATGGAGCTGGCAGGAGTAAGGCTGGCAGTGAGCTGGGGAGCAGCATGGTGCGAGGTGCAGTTGGGGGTGTCGGTATGGTTTCAAAATTGTGTAAAACCATTGCTGTAGAGGGGGTTGCCAACCCAAGAATTTTTTTTTATTGACAGTGAAAACATGTCAGTAAAAAGTTTGGTTGCTGGTAAAAAGTTTGCAAATTGTCAGTTAAAAAAAAAAAGTGTTGGCTTGGCAGCCCTGTTCTGAAAACATTTAAGGAGAATGATTAGTAAGGATTTTTTCTGACATAATTAAATGACCAGTTCTGCACAAATTAGACTTTTTTGACACATCATGGATAAGGTTGCAAATTCTGAGGTGAGTGCTAAATCCAGAGTTTGTTTATTTAAGGGTGTCTAAGGAAACAAACCATTTTATAATTTTTCCAGAATTTTGGTTGGTAGATATGTTGCCGAACCAAATTCTGTTCAATGAGGGAATGTATTTATTTATTTCTATATTTATTTATTTATTTAAAATTCTAATATTAGAAGGTGGCCTCACTCAGTTTACTAATACTTTGAGAGGGATCATTTCTTCTTTGTAATTGGGTTGTATCTGGCACAAGTCAGGTAGCTTAATAGAGAATTAAGTTTGCAGAATATCATTAGTAACAAAGATTATTCAGACCAGATGGAATAGTGGGAGTGTATTTTGTGAGCTGGAATGTAACAGTTGCTTAGTTCATAATCTTCAAGCATTGGTAGGTGGGATTTATTTTTGCCTTTTTAATGTTACTTAATTATTGTGGAACACTTGTTTTCTCTAATTTTCTTGCTTATTACTTAACAATTCTTTGCCAGGTCCTAGTTATCATCAGTTTTAAAGTAGGTCCCTGGCAATCCTGCTCCATGATAAACAGCTGCTTCTATGCCCCCACCTTTATAAGAGTCTTAAAGTTCTTTTTGGTCCTTAATTTATGTTCCAGTAGGTATGCATGTAAAGTGGAGAACACTAAAGGATTTACCAGACTTATAAACAACCCCACATTTTCCAGTACTCACTACTCTATTTCAGGAAGTACTGTACTGTTCTAATAGAATATTCTCCTTGTTATAGATTTGTGCTGGAACCAGAAGACATTTTATTAAGCAAGCTTAAAAATCCCAGTGGTGTCCTGCAGCCACTGAAGGCATGATCTGTTTTCTTAAAAATAACTGGGATTTTACGCTGTTGGTATGTTTGATAGCTGACAATATTAAAGCAATTTATGATCCTACTTTAGGATCTTGTGCAATACTGTAATGAGTTCTTTGGAAATGGGCCTGACAGTTTGTGGGGAAGGCTAGGACTAGTAGAGCTGAAGAAGATACAATTAAGTCATTTAAATTCTGGAAGAGAAACAGGCAAGAAAACCTAGACTGCCTCCTGGATAGGAAATTGTCATGAAATTGCAGATTGCTGAGAGTTAGAATTCTAGCCCTGCAACCCACCAGAATGTTTGTTGAATTTCAAGTGGAAATAGCTGGTAAATTCTGCTTTCCTTCAATTGCACTGGCATATTTGGATGAAAAGGAAGCAGTTGGGGTCCTAGAGGGCATTACTAATGTTTGAACTGCTTTTGGCCCCCCAGTGAACTAGACTTCTGTTATTGGAGATGGTTTTGGAAAAGAGTGCTTGAAATAGGCAATAAATCATCCTGTACATAAATAGTCCTTGCAGACTAAAGGAATGTATTCTGCATAGGTGCTGACTTATTAAGTCATTCTTTATGTAACTATTCAGACCAGAAAGTTATTTCCTTACCTCTCCATCTTCCAAATATGTAATAGGAAAAGGAAGTTTTGTCTCTTGCCTTGACAAATCAATGTTGAAGCATTTGTTGGTAGTGGAATTTATCCAGATAATAGATGCAACCTAGTGAGGCTTAAATAAGACTAGTTAATATAAACACTCTAAAATATTAGTCTCTTAATCAGACCAGCATGTGCAAATTGACACCTGAGCATTTGGAGTGGGTGTTTCAGAATGATTAATTTAAAGCACTAGAGAAGAGCTATAAACTATGAACACTGTAAGTTCCCAGAAAACAGAAGAGGTCATAAATCTAATTCTTTGGCTATATTTCCATTTTTCTAGTTAAATGAGCACACTAGGATGAGTGGATACCTTATATGGACAGGAGAATTAAAATTCTTCAGTGTGGTACTAAAGGGTCAGATGTTTAATCATAATACTGGTTAAAGTGTGGCAGAAAAATCATGATCATGGAGTGCCAGGTGTTCAGGATCCATAATTTCCTCTTCATTCCTGTCTGCAAAACTCTAGTCTTAAGTTTTTGTCATCTTTCAGGTCCATTATCTTAAATAGTGTCTTAATTCTCCCCTCCCCCTCACTGCAGTCTATTCAGTATCCATCTGCTGAAATAATTTGGCTGACATCGTGACTGTATTCAGATCTGGTTACTGGATACTCATTGATTTCAACATTAATTTGACTTGCTGGTCAAGGTCCTACATAGATTTCCATAAGAAGTCCCACCTCTAGGGCCTCTTAACATCTTATCTGCTCCTTTCACATGCTTTGGAGCAGCACGACCTCCTGCATAATCATTCTTTTCCTCTTCTCCCATTTTTATCTTCACGTCCTTTTCATGGCTGTCCTCTGTCCGTGAAACCATTTAATTGATCTTTCTGAATGTTATGTTCTCCCTATCCAAATCCATCTTAAAAATTTGTTTCATCCACAAAGCTATTATATCTAGTCAGTCAGTTGAATTATAGCTCATCAAATAATAATCAAGTAATCTATGGTGCAGGCAGCCCTTGCCTTCCATTCTTAGGCCCTGCTCCAGCTGAGCACTTAATCACATGTTTAATAACTACTGCTTAGCTGTGCTAGAGCAGGTTCTAGTGCAATAATAGCATCCCACATGCTCTAGTCCCTCTTTTGAGTTATATGGTCCTCCTTACGTCTATTTAACATAGTGAGGGCCAATCTTTTTGACAAGCATGCTACAAGTTAAGCCCTGCGCCCTCTCCAAGTGCCACTCCAGTCCCCTTCCCCTGCCTGACCTGCTGTTCTGTTCTCTGCTCCCTTTTTGCTCTGATTTTTGCTCCCTGCCCTACCTGCCACCACGCTGCTTACCCCTTTCCTGATCTGCTGCGTGCCATGCAGAGGCCACCTGTGCCACTTCTGGCATATGTGTTAGAGGTTGGCTACCCCGATTGTAACGGTTCTTTTCACTTTTTCTTTCATGGAATTTAACACCCTATTTCCTGTGGTCTCTGCTGCTGCGAGCAAAACACCATGCACCGAGATGGTTGAAAAGTGTAATCTCCTGTGGCACAAAGGATGTAGTACAATAATGATGCATTTTCCAGCAGTTGTCTGCTACTGTGTACTGAAGTTCAAATGTAAAGAAGGAACAGATTAAAGAACAAGGAAATCTCATTTAAGTGGCTTTATTATTAATTGGTGTTGCTAGATGTATTACATTGGCAGAGCCCAATATGTGTGTTCAGTCCTAGGTTCCTGAATTATAAAAAGGTGACTCTTCCTCCCTCCAACCCCCATGCCTCTTCCTTTCTGGAATTAACCCACAGCTGAGATATAACAAAGTTCCTTTTTGGTATTGAGAAGTACAGTGTGTGATCTCTTTCTAGGTGGGGTTTACTTTCTGCCTTGCATTCATGGTAGTGCTTTAAAGCAGTCCTCAGAAGTAACAAGGCTCTTCTGTTCTGTTCCTGCAGATGTGAACAGGATTAAAAGGAGCATTATCCATGTACCAGAAAAGAATGCAGCATATTAAATTCATATGTTAGGCATAAGGATTTTAGAGCTTATATTCCTAAGAAGTTTGCATTCTTAATTGAGAGATTCAGTGATTTGTTAGAAGTCTGCATTGCATTTATGTATGTGGCTTCACCATCATCTCTTCTTATTTTACCAACAGGCTTGCTTCACACACCAGATACAAACAGAGCAATGTCCTACGTTTTTGTAAACGATTCTTCCCAAACCAATGTGCCCCTGCTGCAGGCTTGTATTGATGGAGACTTTAACTATTCCAAGCGGCTGTTAGAAAGTGGCTTTGACCCAAATATTCGTGACAGTCGTGGCCGAACTGGGCTCCACCTTGCAGCAGCCAGAGGAAATGTAGACATCTGTCAGCTGTTGCACAAATTTGGTGCTGACCTCTTGGCCACTGATTATCAGGGTAACACAGCCCTTCATCTGTGTGGGCATGTGGACACCATTCAATTCCTAGTTTCTAATGGACTCAAAATTGACATTTGGTAAGTTTGCTGTCACATTTTTTCAGAGCCCAGATCTTTCTTGCTAGTATATTAATGCCTTCTCTCCAAATTATTTAGTACAAACTTGGTGCCTGATATAACTGCTGTAGTATTATATTCTGTGCAGTTGTTTTTGGGAGGTTTTAAAATGTCAGCTGTAAATAAAAACTGGACAAGAACAATAAAACAGGCCCACTTTTGTTGTGATCATATGCATTGTGAAAGACAAATACAAGCAACAGCTCTTGGATAGGTTTTGCACAGGCGTTGCTTCTCATTAACTGATGGCTGGTTTGGCCAGCCAGGTAGGTTGGGGGTGTGTGGCACCACACAACAATTTCACATTGACTGCTATTTATTTATTTTAGAATTTTATGTACCCTGGTCCTGATGCTTTAATTTTTCTACTGTAAAGAACAAAGGAAATACAGCAAATATGTGCCCTAGTTTTTTCGCCATACTCTTTGGTAGACAGTGTTGCTGTTCAGGGCTTGCACCCTCCCTCAATGCCTGTGATTCAGTCCTCCTTTTAAATATTGTATATTGTTTCTTAGCTTCTAGCAGCTGTCAGATACCAGTGCTTTAACACAGGCACTTAGAGAACTAACTAGCTAGCTGTTTTATTAAATACAGTTAGAATTAACCAGGGCTATTTTGTTTTTCTGCACTTACATCCCAGTAGAGGAAAAATGGCAGACATTAGTAAATGCCCCTTGGGACTTTTGTTCATGCTTGTCTAATGTAGCTCCTGTGATCTCGTAGCAGAATATTGGCCAGCCAGGATCATTGCCTGTTTTTATTGCAAACATCTGTTTGCTGACCATTCTTAATCCAAAGATAACAAAAGTAATCCACCTCTGTATTTTTTTAAGATAGTGGTAGCAGGATCCACCCATCCTGTGTTTCATTTATTGCCTAATGTCATGAGACCAATCTGTAATTAGGAGCTCTGACGAGCTTAATTCTCAATAGTAATCATGCAATATCTCTTGCATTATATTAGCAACCATCAAGGTGCAACACCACTTGTTCTGGCAAAACGAAGAGGCGTAAATAAAGATGTCATTCGATTGCTGGAGTCTTTGGAGGAGCAAGAAGTGAAAGGTTTTAACAGAGGCACTCACTCTAAACTGGAAACTATGCAGACTGCTGAAAGTGAAAGGTATTTACAATGCAGGAAGATATTTGCTAGAAAAACTATTGGCACAACTATAAAATATTTGTGGTAGATCTGTTTTTCAGATTGCTGTCTAAGTTGGCTGGTTTGTTTGTTCCTTGGAGCAGACAAGGTTAATTTGGCCTCTGGCTTCGGATCTGTCAAAAAGAATGCCTTTCATAATATTTAGATTTCTTTTTAATATAATTTTGGCATTTCCAGTGGAAGAAGCTAAATTTCACATTACAGTGCTCATTGTTCCATTTTACTTGTGAAATTCACTGCACCTGGTCATAAACAGTCCCAAAGGAATAAGCTTCCAGGTTGTGGTTAAAAGGGGCTGGGAGTGGAGGCTGGGAACTCACCCAGAAGTTTCTAACGTCAAGTGCAAAATAATGAAGAGTTGTTTTCTAGAAGCCTGTAGGGATCCTGAACCATAGTTCTCAAGGATAAGAATGGATTCTTTGCTTTTAATCTCTGACAGGTTTATTTTGCAACTTAATGGTTATACTTAAAATAACTTTTGTTGCCCTTGATTATTTTACTGCTTATTTTTGTTACTAAATCATCCAGCTAATCTGTTCATTCCACAAATTTGATTAGTCTTATACTTTCCTAGGTAGGTAACTAAAGCCTCACCTGTTCCCTCCTCTGTCGACAAAGCTCCACCCATGTGAAATCTAACACTTTTTACAAGGAAGTTATGAGTTGCTAGTATAAAAATATAGTAATGTGGTACACTGAAAATCTGTGGGGAAAGTAAAATAATGTTTAATAACTAGTTAATGAAGTCAACTGGACTTGAAGAGCTCAGGGTGTTGACTATAAAAGAGTCTAGGAATTTTTTTGTTCTTTACACCTTCTTGACTTAATCTGGAAGCAAGGAGAAAAACGTTCAGGGAAGTGTTCCAGATTTTACTGGGTGGACACTGTTCAGAAAAGAATATTAAGAATAAGCTTACACAAAATGAGAGGAGAAGTGAGCAGCAAAGGAAACTAGCCTGTGGACACTTGCTATACAGTGAGCTGGTGCTGAGTCATTCCTCTTTATTGGGCCCCTGTCCCAAAATTAGTCTCAGATGCTATTGATGGAATCTCTCCAAAGATCAGATGTACAGTTTGCAGCATGGTTAAAGTTTCACAACCAGAATGGAGGCAGGGAAATGCTGTTGCTTTATAACAGTGATTCTCTACCAGGGTGTCACAAAATTCTTTTAAGGATGCTTCAGGGTACTGTGCAATACTAGCACAGTTAGGTATGCAAACACCTATACAGGATTCACAAGATAAGTCCAGAGGTTTCAAATACAAACACATAATGTCAAAACATGATCACCCTGTGCAGTCTTTCTGAGTTCTTTGCATCAAAATTGCCATATTATTTTTTCATAGTTAAAAAATGAGTGGTAAGTGAAGACCTAGCATTTTTCAGAGAGTGCCTTGAGTCTGAAACGGTTGAAATCCACTCTTTTAAAGATTGACATCATGGTTTGGGGTATTAGCAGAATTTGCAGGTATTACTAGGTATTACCTGATGGGGTCACAATGTGAACACTTCTGCTATGGCCCCTATAGTAGCGTTTTTAAAGCCAGAGAAAGATGCATCTGACCCAAAGAGCTTTAGACCTACCTCTCTGCTATGTTACATGTACAAATTGTACAAATGACTAATACTGAACTGACTTGACCCATACGTCACTCTGGAAAATCAAAAACAAGCCAGCTGCTCAGTCTAACTCAACATACTGAGGATGGTTTTGAAAGAGGCCAGATCACTGAGGTAGGGCAGACTGAGGTGCTCTGGGTCAGTATACAAGGGGGTCGGGGGAGAAAGGGACCTAACAGTGGGGGTCTTCTACAGGCCACCTAAGCAGGGGGAAGAGCCGGACTGGGAATTCTGTGGTCAGCTCATGGAGGCAGTCAAGTCAAGGGACGTCATCATGGGTGACCTTATCCATACATCTGCTGGAAAGAGCAGTCAGCCAGGTCTGACCGCTTATGTAGGTTCCTAGCCAAATTACAGGACCTCCATCTAACCCAGGAGGTGCACAGTCCCACCAGGGGAAATGCCTTGTTGGACCAGTCCTGGCCACGGGTGACGACCTGGTGAGGGGACTGCGGGTGCTCGACCACCTGGGCGATAGCAATCATCGCGTACTGGAATTCACCATCCAGCGCAGGGTGTCAAAGGCCTGCAGCAAGGCAGCAGCCCTGGACTTCAGGAGGGCAGATTTCAATGAGGTAAGGAGACTAGTCAGGGAGGCACTGAGGTCCCAGAGGGGAGGGGAGTTGGGAGTCCAAGAGGAGTGGTCATTCCTTAAGGAGATGATCCTCCAAGCCCAAAAGGTGACAATCCCCATGCGGATCAAAGGGGGCAAGAGCGCTCAAAAGCCCCCATGGCTTACCAAAAGCATCCAGGAAGTCACAAAACCAAAAAGGAGGAGTACACCCAATTGAAAGGAGGGGCCATCACCAAGGAGGGTTATATCTCCATTGCTCGAGATTATAGGGGGTTGTTAGGAAGGCTAAGGCAGACATGGAACTGGGACTAGCGATCCAGATCAAGGATAACAAGAAGTCCTTTTTTAAATACATAGCGGGTAAAAAAAAGGTACCAAGTAACGTGGGGCCTCTGCAGGACATGCTTGGTAATCTGGTGGTAGCAGCAGGCAACAAAGCTAATCTCTTTAACAGTTTCTTTTCTTCCATTTTTCTGAGCAGGGACAGGGACATACCCCCCACTGGGATTCTGGACAGACCCAGGGGAGGTGCAGCCAGGCCCAGGGTCAGTAAGGACCTAGTCAGGGAACTTCTGGAGGGACTGGACGTGTTGAAATCAGCAGGTCCCGATGACCTCCGCCGTAGAGAGCTGAGGGAATTGGCAGAGGTCATTGCGGGACCCCTGGCATGGCTTTACGAGCGCTCATGGTGCTCTGGTGAGGTGCCAGAGGACTGAAAAAGGGCCAGTGTCTTAGTCCTTGGGCTCCCACTGTTCAATATCTTCATCAGCGACTTGGACGAGGGGGTGAAAAGCACCTTGTTCAAATTCGCAGATGACACTAAGATGTGGGGAGAAGTGGGCACGCTAGAAGAGAGGGACAGGCTGCAACTAGATCTGGACAGGTTACAGAGGTATTCAGATAAGAATAGGATGGGTTCAATACAGACAAGCGCAAGGTATTGCACCTGGGGAGGAACAACCAGCACCATACCTACAGGCTGGGGAACTCCCTTCTTGTCAGCACAGAGGCAGAAAAGGATCTTGGAGTCACTATTGATTCCAAGATGAACATGGGCCGCCAATGTGGGGGCGCAGTCAGGAAGGCCAACCGCCCCTTGTCATGCATCCACAGATTCATCTCGAGCAGGTCCAAGGAGGTGATCCTCCTCCTCTATGCGACATTGGTCAGGCCGCAGTTGGAGTACTGCATCCAGTTCTGGGCGCCGCACTTCAGGAGGGATGTGGACAGCATCGAGAGGGTCCAGAGGAGGGCCACTCATATGATCGGGGGCAACAGGGTAGGCCGTATGAGGAGAAACTACAGGACCTGAACCTGTTCAGCCTGCACAAAAGAGGACTGAGACGGGATCTGGTGGCTGCCTACAAACTTGCCCAGGGGGACCAGCAGGCAGTGGGAGAGTCCCTGTTCCCCCGAGCACTACCAGGAGTAACAAGGAATAATGACCATAAGCTGACTGAGAGTAGATTCAGGCTAGACATCAGTAGGCACTACTTCGCAGTCAGGACAGCTAGGATCTGGAACCAACTTTCTAGGGAAGTGGTGCTCACCCCTACCTTGGGGATCTTCAGAAGGAGGCTAGACAATCACCTAGCCGGGGTCGTTTGACCCCATCATCCTTTCCTGCCCATGGCAGGGGGTCGGACTTGATGACCTGCTTAGGTCCCTTTCGACCCTACCAACTATGAAACTGGAGCTGTGTTCATTGATCTAACAGCCACCTATGATATAGTTAGCCACCAATGACTTCTACAAGACCCTGGAAATGACAAAAGATCTACACCGTACATGAACTCTACTCAAAAACGGACTTTATTTGTCAAACTGGATGGGAAGCAAAGCAGATGGACGTGACATATTAATGGCCTCCCTCAAGGAAGCAGACTTGCACCGCTATTATATAACATGTATATGAATGACCAGCAAATCAATTTGGAAACAAAAGGTTTAATCTGTGTAGACGACCTATGCATAACACCCCAAAACGCTATCTCTGGCCATGTTCAAAAATCTGTAAGCAAGATACTTGTTGGCCTAACTTCATACTACATTGAGCCAACCCAGCGATGCCTGCCATCTGAAAAACCATGAGGTCAACCACCAGCTCAACGTTACGTGGCCCAGGACCCCACTTTCCCACTGTCCAAATCCAGTTTACCTTGGAGTCACCCTCAGTCGAACAAAGAATGCATCATGAAGACAAAAGCAAAGGTGAGCATGTGTAGCAGCATTCTGTATAAGCTCACCAACTCAAAAGGGCTTATAGCCCTTTAACCACCTGAAACACTGCTCTCTGCTGAGTATGCATGCCCTGTATGCATATATTAACCACCTTGACCCCATTCTGAATGGTCACTTCCGATACATCACAGAATATCTGAAGCCTACTAGGCTAAACAGTTTGTACCTGTAGGCTGGCATCACTTCACCTGACATCAAAAGAGCACTGGCCAGCAGGGTAGAACAATCAAATCAAACAGAAGATGTGAGACACCTTCTGTACTACCACAGACTATGCAACACCCGCTGCTTTGCCTACTACTTGGAGGCAGGTGTACAATGAAAACAAAGTACAATAAATGAGCACAAGCATGTGTAACAAAGTAGTCAGATGTGGTGTAAGACACAAAAAGAGGACAACAGACTGACATCTTGTCACCAAGAAACCCTTTTATTTCCTTGTATGAGACTTAAAGCTGATAAAGGTACCAGAAGTACTTGCAACCCTCATCTGTATTAGGTAATCCATCTGCAGACACTGCACTT